ACAAAAAGCAAAAAAAAGTTACATAGTGTACCTTTAAAAGTGGTCATTAAATGCGCTGTATCTGATTTGTCCTGTATTAAAAATGTAAAAAACTTATTCCTCACTTACTTTATGCATTCAGGGCATTTCAGAGACCAGCGTGAAGTTTTGTTGTCACGGTAATGCCAGTACCAACAATTAGCATGCTAACAGCGCACTCCCTGATCAGTGGACAATAAAACGCTTCATAATTAGATGAAGATCGCAGATACATGCGGCCAAAATGAGTTTCCTCCGCAGGGTGGCTGGGTGCTCCCTTAGAGATAGGGTGAGGAGCTCAGTCACACGGGAGGAGCTCGGAGTAGAGCCACTGCTCCTCCACATCGAGAGGAGTCAATTGAGTTGGCTCGGGCATCTGTTCTGGATGCCTCATGGGCACCTTCCTGGGGAGGTGTTCAGGTCATGTCTCACTGGAAGGAGGCCCCGAGGAAGATCCACAACTCACTGGAGGAGGCTGGAGGGACTGTCTCTTGGCTGGCCTGGGAATGCCTCGGGGTTCCCCTGGAGGAGCTGGAGGAAGTGTCTGAGGTGAGGGAAGTCTGGGAGTCCCTGCTTAGACTGCTGCCCCCGTGACCCGGCCCCTGATAAACGGAAGAAAATGGATGGATGGAAGTAGATGAAGACAGCACACAGCAGGTTTAGTGTGACTTTTAGAGCTGCTTATACATCTGTACTGGGGCTAAAATGCACAGTGGGAAAAAATCCGATATGGCCCATTGATTTTTTATTTTTTACCTTGACCAGAATGCACTCATTGAGAATAAGTATATATTTTATCCTGGCCAGTCGAGGGAATAGTACCGACAATGTATATATGAGTGTAAAAGTAGAAGTTTAGTCATGATTGGATGGAGCGAGGTGATCTTAGTGATTTGAACTCGACTTATTTAGTTGTTGAAAAAAGACCCCCTCCTCATGTTTCGGACTCAACAGTCTTGCACTTTAAGAACAGGAATATCTTGCAACAAAAATATGTGTAAAGTGGTCGCTTGACTTTTGATTGCAACAGTTTAAATAGCACAGTCTTGAATGTTGTTAGATTTTTCCCATGTCTTGCAAAATCTGTCTTGCCCCAGTACAGATAGTATATTGTCTAAGCAGCTGTTGAGGTCAAAATACAGTATGTCCGTTCTGTACTGTCTGCATCTAATTATAATGCATGTTTTTATCAGAGAAACAGAAAGTGCACGATAGCATGCTAGTTGTTGTTTACAGTGAAAGCAAAACTCTGCGCTGTGAAAAGCACTTAATCCCACTGTGGTGAATAATTAGGATGTTCAGAAAACTTAAAGGTGCACTATGTAACTTTTTGGTTAAGGGTCATTAACCTGCGTGTTTCTATGGACTACTGCTCTGCCTGGAATATTTCACAGTATGACTTTAAACAGCTCTACCTTACATTTATTAAATTACAGGTGGTCTTATAGCTCAAAAATACCTAGAAAAACAAGCATTCTGACTGTGGGTCAGACAGGGTCTCCTCTCCACAGATCTGACCTGTAACTCGGTCTGGTCATGATGATAGAACAGTTTAATGCCATACTCTGAAACATCCCAAACAAAGCAATAACATCTCCATGGAGAAAAGCATTTGATGAACATGATGCACATTCATTTTGTGGAAACCGTCTGACCGCGCAGCATTAGGCTTCGTTCGCTCGATGGAAGCCGAGTACTTTTTTTATTTAACCAGTCGCTGCTATTTGGTCATGACGTTTATAATGCACCGCTAACGGGGTTAACTGGTATATTAAGCTTTTCCCAAATCCCGTAGGAAGAAGGACAATAAAGTCTTTCCCCTTCACCGAACATTTTCTTTGTTGCGACTTTAAATCCTTTTGGAATCGTTGCACTGAATTGGCTGGTGCCTGAACTCACACTTCTGGGGTTTTTGCGAACCGTCTAGTGTATTCTGATTCCTGACCTAGTCACTGGAGAGAAATGAAATTAAGCAGAGACTAGGTGGCACCAGCCTGACTAGAAAGCAATAGCACTTGGAGTAAATATTTAGAATAGTTTTAAGTGAGTTAAGCTACAGTTTGTGAATAAAAATTGAGATAAAAGATTACAAGAACTTGAAATTTCTAAAAAAAAAAAAAAAAAAAAAGGATTGATGACAAAATTGGCCTGGTAGTGTCACCTGTTTGTCTCCATGGAGATAGACTTTTTAAATGGAATAATATCATACATTATAATATCCCAGCTGAAGGACATGAGCTTCATACCAGATATTTAACATAATGCACCAACTATAATTTGATACACGTCCTAAGGCAAGTGGAGACAAGATACTTTCAAACCTGTTTCACCAATGTCTAAACTCACCTCACTTGGCATTGTTCAACTTACATGACAAAGAATACATTTTAAATATTATATTACAATTTCTATAGGCAATCACTCAATACAAATGTAAAAACAATACACCAGTGTACAGTACCAAGTAATGAGTAATGATGGAATCAAAAACATACCCCAACATTCACACGTTTAAGTAACTCTTTATTATTACTCTGTCTGCGTCTCTAAAGCTCAAAATGCTCTGTTCCTTTTTGTGATGTCATGCAGTGATAGTTTTCAAATTAACAGCTACAGTTTTCTTTTTCTTTTTTTTTTTCTGTTTGAGAGAATATGCAGGGTTTGTGTGAGAAACATGTGTGAATGAAACAAAACACAACTCGAGGTGAGAAACAGTATTATAACATCAATCAGAAAACAGTGTAATAGACTCTGTGTAGCTCACTGTGTCTCAAAGCTACAGTCACTTTTATTCAAATTGTAAAATATAAAATAAACAACCCATTAAATTGAAAAGTATTACAGTACAGACTACCCAATGGTTTTTATATGTAAAATACATTAGTTTGTGGTGTTATGCTTCAGAGTTAGCCTTGGCGTTAGCATTGAGACACAAACATCTCTTTTTGTAAACACACAAGTGCCCTCTGCTCAAGTATTCATTTTGTTTGTGTACTTTTTAACGTTGTCAGTGACATCCACCCACAGCTCCCTGTCCACTGTTGGATTTTTAAATATTTATTCATTTTAGCACGACTCCACAAAAACCTTGTAAAGAGAGTTGGACAGAAAGTGACGTTAACAGTGAGGTTCCCAGGCGTATTGTGCACAGAGCCTACATAGGCCCTTTAAGCAAGACACTTCATCCACTTTGCCTGTGTATGAATATGGAGTGTGGGGTGGTCGGAAGAGCAGATGGTGCAGAATGGCAGCCTTACTTCCACCAGTGTGCCCCTGGGCAGCTCTGGCTACGGAAGTGTGGACTGAAAAAATGACTCTAATAAGGCCCCATCCACAGTAGTATGTGTTTGAGTCATTTTCGTTGTGGATGCAGTGTTTGTCCACACTAATCTGATGGAAACATCTCCAGAAATGGAACGATCTGGTGCTGCCAGCTCCCACGAATTCATCCACGAGTATGGATCTGATCCGGCACCGTGTGAATGTCTGAAAACACTGATATTCCACTGGGCTGTGTCCTCTAGTCCGACTGAAGCTGAACCGCATCAGCGCACAAGGAGCGAGCTGTTTTTTTGAGTGCTCAGTTTATGTAAATTAGCCATGCAGGTTTAAATTTCGTTTCTGTAAAACATAAACAAATATGCTCAAATCTGTGTGGATAGGAACGGCTTGCGGACACAGAAACAACGTGTCTGGACGCAAATCGTTTCCAATACGGTGATACAGTGATTTGTTTTGGTGTAAACGTAACATATCATGTATAGTGTGTTTGAAGCCAGTGCATTTTCATTACGCTCAAAAGTTCATGTGATTATTAATACAGCAATAATGCATTTCCCCAAGTTATGAAGTTGTGCAATTGTAAAAACTAAAACCTATCTATCTTTTAATGAATATTAGAATAGTATTAAAATCATAAAACTAAAACTAACAGCGATTAAAAGTACATCAACTTTACTACATGAATATTATTTGCTCACTTGGGAGCATTCTTACTATTCTTTATTTCACCAAGCTTACATAAAGGTGCACTTGAACTTTTCTGGTGTAGAGCATGCCACCTGCTTGTCTCCGTGGATAGTTGTTGCTTAGCCTGGCATGTTCCACAGTATGGCACTGAACTCCATGGAGACAAGCAGGTGATGTCAAGGTGAGAGGCAAAACCCTGCACAGTAAGAATGCGTGTTATTCTTAATTTAACAAATACAAGATAAGTTAATTTCAGGCAAAGTAACAGCAACAACAACAACCCACAGCATTAGTTGGAAATTACCACTTATAGGCTGTTACATGATTTTATTCCTGCTTATTATGATGTTATAATGCCAAACAAATCGACTTTTACACAAACTGAAATTCCCCCATTTGACAACAGCTACTTTTAATTCATTTCATTTTATTTCAAGTGAAACATGTGAATGAGCGCTTTGCCTGTTCCAGATCAGACACTCTGTAACAGCACCTGCCTGCACCTTTATGCATTTGAACCTTACACTAGAAATAACGCCTCAAACATAGTTCTAACTTCATCAATGTGACAGACAGCGTCGCTCCGCTCCTGTCGCTGCTTCTCACTCCTCTGTGTCAAACGAGGCCAAACTTTTCTCCACGTCCCTAAAACGTCTTTGTACGTGTCAGCGCGCGCCACCCCGGATACCATTTTTAGGACCCAAATGTACGGAGATGTCAGCGATGTAAAATGGAACCCCGTGCTGCGATTATAATTAACATTTTCAACCTACATCACTCTCCCTCCTACTTTCTTTTCTTTCTCCTCCTCTCCTTCTTTCCTTCACACTGTTCACTCTCTCCTATGCAATAAATGGGAAAAATGCAAGTGGGAAAGAATAGAGGGGAGGAGGAGGAGTGTATGAGAGAGAGAGAGAGAGGCAGAGGAGAGTGGCCAGAGGGAGGGAGGGAGGGGGGAACGGCGTATGCTTGTATACAACCCTGATTTCCATTTTTTTCTCAACTCGTAATGTATTTAATTCTGGTGAAACGTAATCATGACGTGTCGTGTCATTAATCTCTTCGCCGCCTCTCCCGTAAGTACACTGAGGCTTTACTTTCAACCTATAGCCTATATCTACATATATCTAACAATATTTTATCAACTAGTATGTTTACATTTGCACTTTTACGCATGGGCGCGTCAAACCTTGGTTACGTTACAAAATTAAGACATTTGGTGCCTTTTTAAACGAGGGCGCAGGGGAAATGGTCGTAGTAGTAGTTGTAGTTCATTTTTCAGTACTTTGTAGTTTGGATGCGTGTGAGTGAGTGATTGGCATGTAGCATGTAGCAGTCCGTGTCTCGTGCGTATTCCACTTTGTCATGTATGTTACCCGGCGTGTGCACCGCCGAGCGACGTTCACGCAGCCTCGCAGTCTGCGTATAGCGGTGACATGACAAAAAACTGGCTAAAATTAGATCTTTTACAGAAAATTCCCAATGTGCTTCGCGTTGTTTTGCTCATAACTCGACACAAGTCATGTCGTTTGAGGGCATTTGTGCACTTTAAAATGGTTGTAAGTGCGTAAAAGTGGCCCTAAGTGGCAAAACGTGTATTATTTGTCAAATCAAGTAACTTTAAACCAGTTGTACAAGCTCGTGTTTATTTTTAGCCACGTGTGCGTATCAGATTTGAAAGAAAAACTCATAAAGATGCATATTGTTGTAACGTATACGATGCATGTCCAAAAAGTAGCTTTACAAAGGGAGGCACAAGTTGATGGAGGGTTCACTACGAGCCAGGGACGCATTGTCGAAGCGTAAAAGTGGATTTTTCCCGTGTTAGCAAGTTGATTTACACCGCGTAATTTGTAGGTAGATGCGATTAGCTTGACTAATTCTTTTGTTGGCATTGTGTAACTGCATTGTTTTCGCCGTAAGCCTCGCCACTTTCCATGTGTGAGCCGCTAGAAACGCGCTCCGGATCTCCAAACGTTGGCTTTTTGACCGAGCGATTCACTTTTACCACCTTTTCCTACTACTCCGAGCTGTCCTAACATCACCTCCGCTGTCTACAAGCTCCCCAAGTCGAGTAGCAAGTGTAGCGTGCACCCGCGTAATCTGACCGTTTCCAGCCAAATTCTAATATAAGTTGCGTTTCAAAGTGTGCGTTTTTTGGCTCGCATTTGTAGCTTTTGTGACTGGTGTCGTTTTTGGGAAAGATTGGCAGACGGATTCAAGATGAAATCCATGGTACTTTTCCTCCTCCCCGCTCTCCGCTCTCGTCTTTCCCCTCCCTTAATCTTTTGTATAGAAAATTTAAGAACAAAATGGAGCAGGGGAGAGAGCGATAGATCGGTGTGACATGACACGGACAACGCCACCTTCGACTTCTCCAAAACTACGTGCCACTAATCGGTGTTGGTGGGATTTCTAGCCGGGATTGTGCGCTCGTTCGCGGGGTGGATGTCGTGTTCGCACCGCTGTTTGTTAGGGCATTGTTTGTTGGTGATTATTTATTTCATTAGCGTGAGTCTAATTGAGATGGCCGCGAGAGAGAAGAGGGGAAAGAGCGACTGAAAATGGTTGCACGTTATTGACGCACATCACAGGGGCGAGGGAGGAAATTCCACTTGAGATAAGGCGCAGACGTGTCCCGCTCGCTCGCAGTTACTAAAATCTACCAACGATGTTTAGGGATCCTGAAATGCCCTATTTTTCACATCGTGTTCAAATGTCAGAGGTTTTTTTTTTTTTTTTTTGCAGTGGTTGAGCCGTGGAAGTAGGTTGACTTGGCTGGCTCCGTTTTAAAAGCTCGGGTGTTGTGGCAGCGTCAAGTCCCATTTCAACTGAACTTGGGATAATTTTAGACAAGAAAATGTGTTATATTTAAGTAGAAAGCACAAGCATACACGTAGAAGTTGGACAGTGTTCAGTGTACAGTTCTTTTTTGACATGATTAACAGCTTTAGTGATCTGCATTGTTTTGGAACAGCATTTTTTTTTTAAATCTATTGCAACATGATAAAGATTTTAAAACATATAAAGCATATATAAGGTATAAAATTGGAATGACCAGGGGACCGGCAGACATATGTTTCACCTTAAAAGATCGCCTGCAATCACCTTTAACTACATCCACTTTAGCTGATTGAAATCTTCATAACTATACCTGAGCCAAATGCAGTACTCTACAATCAAATACTTCAACTTTTCAGATTGATCATTGTTAAGTTTTGTTACAACTACCACATATCTGGTGTTTGGACGTGCAATCATTCCTTTCATAACATTTGAATTCATGCATTTTAGCATTTTAGGTATAGTGTGTTTGAGAAATCATTTATCATGATGTGTTGAAGTGTTCACTCCAGCCGTCTCTTTCTCTCTCTCTCTTTACAGAAAACGTAATCTAATTCAAGTCCATTTTCAGTTGTGTAGATGCTGTTACTGTATGTTGAGCTGCCCATTGAAAATAAATTACTCTTTACAATTCATTTTACATTCTGAGGTTTATGGAGTTGAAGGTCACCAAGGACCCCATGTGCATTAGAAATAGCTCGTAATCCTTTTCTTTGTTGTATTGATTTACTTGTAAACAGCAGGAAAAATAACTCTTAAAGCTGCACGGTGTAACTTTTCTAGTGGAAGTCTCTCGCCTCTTTGTCTCCATGGCGATGTCACTGCTTTGCTTGGAATATTCCGCAGTATGGCATTGAAGTTGGAGATGTGAATCCACTTGCAGTACGTAAGCACGTTTTCAAGATACAGTTAATGCCATACTGTGGAATATTACAGGCAAAGCAATAACATCTCCATGGAGACAAGCGAGCGGAGGTCCCTCTAAAAAGTTACATCGTGCATCTTAAAATAAAATGAAATGACTTAGATTTTTGTACACTCTGACTAGTCTTGGAGTAAGATAACCAGCATTCCACTTAAAATTAAAAGTTAAGAATATTTTGTTAATCTAACAGGAAGAAACTTGTCAAAATCTACTCAAATCAATCAAATTTTAACTTATTTATTGTGTTTTTTTCCATTGTAAAGATTGGAGAACATGTATTATGTAAGACTAAGCTCACATCAGCTCATGAAGTTTGAGGTCAGGTGAAGGGTCAAGAACAGGACGAGGAGTTGTTACATTTTGAGCCACTAGGGGTCAGTAAAAATGGTAAATGCAGACAGCAGCACACAGACCGGCTTCGTGGGTTGGTTCCTGTTTGAGTGGAGGTCCTTTGGGTGCTATCTTCTCTTGAATACTGCAGCTAGCAACTCCTGACCATGACCCTGGTTCATAAGCGTTTTCACCATCGATTTGAATGTTCCAAGCAGGTCAAATGAGAACAAGTGGACATATAAACTAGAAAGATGTACTGTGTAACCTTTCTAGTGGAGAGTAGCCACTTCCTTGCCTTGAATGTTGCAGAGTGTGGCATTCATTTCTCCACAGGGACAAGCTGTTCAATCATATTTTTGCAATCCATCAGAAATGCACGTTTTACTGTTTTGATTTTGAGATTCAGGTTTTTATGAATACTATTTTTAGTTGATGGAATACAACACAAAAATAATCTGATTTCTGTTCCAAACTACATACTTTTGTTTACAGAGGATTTCCTGTAGACTGCTCCATTAAAAGTCCATGCTGATCATTGGTGATTAGAAACAATTAGGTCTTGATTTGATTCAGATCTGATTAAGTCCGCAGCCATACTTGTAAACTGCTAGTATGTTGTCCATCTTTTGTGCATTATAATTTTAGCTGGTCAAATTCTGTGTAATTTATGAATCAATCAATGATATGTTTTTAGAGACAGATATTGATGCCGAAATCATGGCATCGTCTGCCATGAGTGGATCATTGTAAGGGTCCAATGTTGTTATGATACTAAAATTTCTATCTTGATTTTGATAGTAAAGAAAAGTATGGAGTAAGAAAGCTGCCAGAAATGTTCGTGTGCATATAAGATAGAAATCTGTGCATATTTGGGAAATCTGTGCATATTTTGTTGTAGCTGAGCATAAAATAAATATTCGTAAACTCTCAAATGAGTCCAGTCGCACATACAATGTGTTGTGTGTATTTTATCCATCAGAATACAAATTGAAAACTTACAACATCAACATTTACAATCACAAAATTTAAAAATTTACGATTACACTTTCTTCAGTACGAATACGAATTCACAGACGTGAATTCATTTTGTGATTGTAATTCTTGATGCTGTACCTTTTCAATTCGCATTCTGAGGCATAAAATACACACAACGCATTTTATGTATGACTGGACTCATTTGAGAGTTTATGAATATTTATTTTATATTCAATCACAGCCAAATATGCACAGATTTCCCAAATATGCAGATTTCTTAGCCTGATTCATTAGCCGGTTTCACTTCGTACAAACCATCTGACCTCGCAGCATTAGAATTTGTTTGCTCGACGGTAGGCAGGTACTTTTTTTATTGAACCAATCACTGCTCTTTGGTCGTGACGTATGTAATGCGCCACTAACCGGTCTAACTGGTATATTAAGCTTTTCCCATATCCCATAGGAAGAAGGGGAACAATGTCTTTCCCCTTGATAAAATTCACCAAACATTCTCTTTGTTCCGGCTTTAAATCCTCGATCTTGGGAACCGTTGACAACACAGAATGTTGATTGGCTGGTGCCTGAACTTGCACTTCCAGAGTTTTTGCGAACCCTCTAGTGTCGTCCAATTCTTGACATAGTTGCTGGAGAGAAATGAAATTGAGCACTAGGTGGCGCCAGCCTGGCTACAGATTTCTTATTTCTTATTTCTGAAAGCTTTTTTACGCCATAGAAAAGACTCGATACTCCATACGGAACACTCTTTCTTTAGAGTATGATTTTCAACATTAAGGAACAGTACTTTCTTTTGTATTACCACGTGCTCTTAGATCTGCTCCGCATCATTCTGAAGCGATACAGGAAAGGTTCATTTCCCTCCTGTGAATGTGATGTTTTTAGTATCGATACTTGCACTAATTAATATCTAGTTTTGATAGTAGTTTTTGTATCGATTAATTCGCGTCTGATTTCCGATACTTTTGACAGCACTTGTCCAAA